TGGAAAGTTGAAAAGTATAGAAGTCTAGCTATTTTATTGGGTTGGGGAATTGAAAACTATTGTCATTTGTGACAGTTTGAGCACTTTCTTCAAAAGAAGCCCATTTTGGTGTCAATGGAAAAGTTGTAGAGAATCAAAAATTAAGCTTATATCCACATTTTCAGAACGATTCAAAAACTGGTTTTCAAGGAATGTCAAATTTACGAATTTTCACAAAACTTGCATTTTAAACGAAACTGCTATGCGTATCTTTTTGGAAATTTGGCTATAAGCCTAATTTTTGATTCTCTACAACTTTTCTATTGACACCAAAATGGGTTTCTTTTGAAGAAAGTGCTCAAACTGGGAAATCTCCAGTCCTCCATTTTTGAGTCTCACACTTGTCTCACACACAAACCAAAACCCTACTACGAAAGAGGAATCCGCAAATTGCCTGTAAAATGGGCAGGAGTCGTCAATAATAATGGAAATTATTTGGAATGAATTGATGGTTTTATGTTGAATAAATTTTAGTTCAAAGTCCCGCAGTTTTCAATTCACCAACCCAATATTTGAAAAAGTAAAATGAAAACTATTCAGCTGACAAGGTTGAATTGATTTGAGTTTTAATTAAAGGCTAATTGACGGATTCCCATATTCTGTTTTTTCGGCTGAAAATGGAAAACTTGTACAAATATCGGGATTTTCAAAAACTCAAATACAGGATAGCTATCATGTTTTACTATTCCTTAAAATATTCAAACTTAGACGTTGTTGTCATCCCCAATCACACGACTTCCAATCAGCCCGGTCTCTCCGTGCTAAACGAGAAAGAAACAGTCGCCGAAAGCACGGCTCTTCTCTACTTACAAAACCAAATTTCAATGCATTGATTAATTTATTTCAAAGCTAATCATCGTGTTATACCAGTTCATTCAAATATTTATTCCACTTAACTTTATGTTGTGTAGTCAGTCTTTGGGAGACCTTGAAAAGAAAGTATGTTGGCATCAAAACACAAAAACGCAAAGGTTTGAAAGTGGTTGGAGATTCCACAATCAACTAATGATGCACTGATTGCTTCAATGCTACGCCGATGTGATGCAATAATTACTTCTAAAAGATACTAAATATTATTTCTCGTTTACCATTTCAAGTTTTTTTCTTTACTTTATATTATAATTTATCGTGTTGTTTAAAAAATTGCTAAGCTATATCGTTGGGTTTTTGAATAAATGTTAATTAAAAATGCAAAACAAAGACCTTAAGCTTAGTTTGCTATGAGAATCATCTTGAATATATATTTCAAATAATTACAAATATATTTCAAAACTGGTTTACAATTTAGCTCATTTGAGAACTAAGGGTTTCTAGTTGAAAAACGAAAAGTTGCTACCGTAAATACTGTAATAGTACCCTACCCCTTCGTACAGTCGCGTAGTCGCAAAAGTTTTTTAGTATTTCATTTTTTTCAAAGCGCCCGTACTTTCAAAAAATGCGTCTTTGGTATCAAAAAATAGCTGAAATTCAGGGCTATTTTTTTGATACCTACGCGCGCATTGTAGCATAAACCAGTGTCGAGAAAAACTCGTTCAAAGCTAGACTACGCAACGCTCCGCACCGTCATTATGGGGGTGGGGTCCAATTACAGTATTTGCGGTAAGTTAATGTCCGCTATTGTAGATATTTCTCTTTCAAAAAGCTACTTTCATCTGATCACGAATGTTTATTCTGAGAATGAATGCTATATCTAACCGTCTAAAAGTCCGAAATGAAACTGAAACAGAATCTAATTTTAAAATTAATCAAATAAAAAGTATGAACAAACAAGTTTTCATTGATAAAATGGAAATTGACAGGTGAAATTTTGAGGTTTAAAGGGGTCAGGTGACCGGCTGAAATAACCCTAAAATATCAGCAATCAGGTATTCTTTCTTTAAACAGCTACAGAAGTTTTAGAATTTAAATGTATTCAGCTTTAGAATGAATTTGAAATTTCTTGCCTTAACTTGCCCAATTCCTGAGTTTTTTTTAGGGTGAGATAGTCTGGTTGTCCGAGCAGCCACCTTCTTTTTTGACTCTAAAACAACAATGGAAACCTCAGAAGAATCAACAGAACCTCTAGTACTTATCATGTACACATATATTATGCATTTTGTTTGTCTTTGCGTCTACGTTTTGGTAGTGAAAACGCTTTGGTTGAGGAAAAGTCGAGACACCGTCGCGCAAACGTATTATCTCTTGTCGACACATGTAAGAATTAATTTAAAGTGAAAAAATTCTAATCCGAACCCAATTCCACCTTCGTTTTCTTGGCCGATTACTCTGAAATTTTGTTTACAAATAGAAATTGGCATTCTCTGCTTGTAGACAAAATTTCAGAGCAATCGACCAAGAAACGGCTGAGAAAACGAAGGTGGAATTAGGTTGGGCTTGGAATTTTCCTATGTTTAGTAATTGTGGTATTAAGAAGTTGATCAAGTTAGAAAAAGAAGTAAGGAATGAGATCAAAGAAAAAATTTTTGTTAAAAATTCAGTAGCATTGCGGTACTGAGTTATTCATTAGTATCGGAGCTTGGTTTTGGTCGAAATAAGGGGCTCAAGAGCTAGACAATTAGTCAAAAAGATTCACCAAACATGTGTCTTTTAACTAGTGAATAGGTACTTTTAATTGCAAGAGAATCAAGAAGCGTTTAAAATTAGGATTTATCTGAATGAATATAGTTAAATCAGCCAAAAAACCCGCCCAACGCCGAGTTTTTGTGGCTGGATGCTTTGGGATAGTCTTTGTCGCCGTAGCGCAGTTGAGAGCGCGCTTGTCTACGGCCCACACAAGCCGGGTTCGACCGCCCATAGTGCAACTCAATCTGGACACATCTTAAAGCCAGAAAAATCCCTAACTGTGGGTTTTTCTGGCTGGATGTTTTGCGGCTGGTCTTTGTCGCCGTGGCGCAGTCGGGAGCGCTCTTGTCTACGACCCACACGGCCCACACGGTCCGTGTTCGACCTCCCGTAGTGCCACTCAATTTTGATTTTTATATTTTTTATTTGAAATGGCACAACTACAATATATTCTAAGGTTTCTAAAAGTTTTTTTAGCTTTATAGATCAAAACAGAAAAAACATCAAAATCAAAACAGAAACTGCCCGTATAGGCAGACAGACAGACACTGCTCTTTTATATATAGTAGATCCTTGATTTCATTATCTTTTAGACTTGTCTCATCATTGTCGAGACCGTCTTGGTCTATGGAGAGTTCTCGACACTTCTTCTCCATTTGGCGATCAAAATTAACGGAGTTTTCGCCGCCTGGGGAGTGAAACCGATAATTTTGGTGGTAAGTTTTATTTGCTAATATCAATATTAAAAAAAACTTAAGTTATTCTAATCTAACAAAACTGAGTAAAGTGAAAATTTTATCCAACTTCTTTGGTAACCAAATATTTATTTAGGAAACCGGTCTTTTCGCGCTGCAAACGATGACAATCTCCATCGTTATGTGCCTTATTTTTCGCTTTTACTTGATCAAACGCAGAAGATTTGGGTAAAAGACACAAAATACAGTTGACTGTTGAAAACAGATGTTTAGAAGACACTATGTTCCGGAGAAACACGTGCATTTGATGCAAGTATTCTTTTATCTGTTCAGTGTTCCTTTTTACATTCTCTTCCATTGGTCAGAAGTAGAGAAAAACGATATTCCGCAAGAAGTCCCGGTAAGAAGAAAGTAAATTGAAATCAGAACTTCAATTCTTAGCATGACTCGCCTTTGTTCAACCCAAACGTAATTCTAGTCAACTTTTATTGGAACAAGACCTTTTTCGCTGCGTTTGCTTACTGGTGGTGCTCGGCGACGTGGCTGCTCTGGATTGGAGCCTATTTTATCTATAAGTTTGTGAAGAAATAGATTATAATTTTAAATTGTGGATCAGCTTTGTCCCGAGGACAATTTTCCGGATCAATCACAGTTGATTATGTCAAGATCAAAGTCAGGTTCTGTCTTGATCTTGCTTTGCTGCAGGACTAGTCTGCTAAAAGTTGGACTCACCAAACTTGGAGTGCAGATCATAATCTGATGCCCTGCTGGCCGAGCTTTGGCTTGATTCTACTTACGAGCTCTAATTGTAAGGTCGATTGGAACAGGTTTACCGTAGCTGTATTCAGATAAAACTGTACAATTAACAACTTTATTGCGTAGCTTTAAATACAGAAAAGTTTCTAGAATCTTCTATGGTTTGAGCAAGAACCATCAGCACAGTCAACTCACCAAGGAACTACACAAGAGAGCCGTCTATTCATCGATGTTCATGGTTTGTCAACTAGTCAGAGTCAGGAAGATTGTGGAACATTTGATAGGCGCCCCGCCCGTTTTGCCATTGGCAATCTAACTTTGAGCTCAAATTTTTTGGTGTTGGGCTGTCCAATTTAAATCATTTTTGTGCCAATCAACAAAGAAAGACTTGGCGCATCTAATGATATCAAGGATATTTAAATTGGACAGCCCAACACGAAGATATTTGAGCTCAAAGTTAGATTGCCAGTGGCAAAGGGGCGAGGCGCCTATCAAATGCCCGATAACCAGTCAAGAATCACAATCCCAATTTAGGCGCTTCCCATTTACGCCACTTGCACGACGGTCGCTTTCATTTGGATGAGCGTCTATGTGCTAAACTTGTTCGGACTAGCGTTGGACTTTGATGGTTTGTTTCGAAAGTTGTACTGGTGTAGCATTTCAACTCTTGCAAACCTTCAGGAACAGAAATCTTTCAGGAATCAACTCTTTCTTCACTCCGTTAATCTTGGGCAATTCGTTGCTAGTTTCGGCAAACACCCTCTACACGGCGTATCGCAGTCAGATTCTCGAGTTCCTCGGCCGGCCGACCGGCTTTGAGCATCGGAGAATGAGTACGGTTACTATAATTTCAAAATATAAGCAAATATTCAAAAGAATTCTGTAATTTGAATCTTGTCAAACTTTCGATCAACGTTTACTCTCGTTACGCAGTATATTCAATGCAAATTTCTAATTTTTGCTTGAGTTTCTAGACTTTTTAGAGATCAAAAGTCTCTTTGATCAAATAAATTTAGCAGCTGAATTTTCGATGGATCAATTGAGTTAAGAATGGAGAAGAAGGAAAGCCGGAACTGTATTTCGTTGGTCATGTTTTTCGTTAGCTTTTGTTTTTATGTACAATGAATATTTTGATGAGTTGTAAGATTTATTAAGTACTCGTGTAGAGGAGGCAAATTACATACACTCTGTCAAAAAATTATAGACGCACCCTGTTTTTTGCTAGTTTAGAGCCGGATATAAGTGCTAGTCCAGTGCAAAGTATTTTTTTAGTTTCTTTAATGTAAAAAACAACCCATGCAAAATTTCAAGTCATTTCACTCATCCAAAGTACTTTATCGTACAAAAAACGTTTTATCAGCTGTCAAAAAATTATAGACGCACTTTTATTTGACGATTTATTCTATCAATAATTGTTAGTTTTTTCTCATTTTTTTTGCTTATTAGTTATGTTTATAAATGTTTTTACATTTTCAGATATGCCACTTGGAAAACAACTGGATGTGGTGGAAAAAACGCGTATCGATGTGCTCCACACGCTTGGTCACTCAAACAGGGACATTGCTCATCGCATCGGACGTTCTGAGAAGTGTATTCGCTTGTATCTCAAGACCAAAATGACTCCTAAGAAGAAAGAAACACGGGGCCGGAAGAAAAGGTTGACCGATCAAGACGAACGCGCAATTACGAGACGTCTTTCCAACACGACGACATCACTCGAAGAGGTTCGCAAGGAGATGAAGCTTCCGGTCACTCGCCAAACTGTGCACAACGTTGTCAAACGATCTACAATACTCAAATACAAACTCATGAAGCAAGCTCCACGACTTACAAAGGACCATAAAGCCGCCCGTATCGATTTCGCTCAAAAGAACCAGAAGACCAAATGGGAAGGAGTTGGTTTACTAGTATTTCTTATGTATTTTATGTTTAGATCATTTGGAGTGACGAAAAGAAGTTCAATCTTGATGGTGCTGATGGTTTTCGAGGATATTGGAAGGATTCACGAAAGCCGGGCATGGTCTTCAGCACGAGGAACTTTGGAGGTGGATCATGTATGGTATGGGGAGCCTTTCGAGACGGTGAACTGGTCGGCTTAGAGTTTATTTCGACCCGGATGACATCGCTTGACTATCAACAAGTGTTGGACAAACATCTAGCCGTCTATCTGAAGAACAATCCGGGCAATAACTTTACTTTTATACACGATAACGCGAGTATTCATGCAAGTCGCTCCACAAGAGATTGGCTGACAGCGCACAAAATCGGCACTGTCGCTTGGCCCGCTTGCAGCCCAGATTTGAACCCGATTGAGAATGTGTGGGGGACACTCGTTCGAGATGTCTACAAGGGAAAGAAGCCGGATTCGAGCGTGAATGAACTCAAGAAAGCCATTCAAGTAGCCTGGAATCGGCTTCAGCCAACAGCGCTCCATGACCTTGTCTCTTCGATGCCGAGACGTCTTTTTGAAGTTGGACTAAAGCAAGGAGGGGCCACACATTATTAATTTATTTGGTTTGTGTTGTTATTTTTATTTCTGTTAACTTTTTCTTGATAAAATAAAAGTGCGTCTATAATTTTTTGACAGCTGATAAAACGTTTTTTGTACGATAAAGTACTTTGGATGAGTGAAATGACTTGAAATTTTGCATGGGTTGTTTTTTTACATTAAAGAAACTAAAAAAATACTTTGCACTGGAGTAGCACTTATATCCGGCTCTAAACTAGCAAAAAACAGGGTGCGTCTATAATTTTTGACAGAGTGTATATATGTTATATGAAAGTCGGATAAAACCACTTCAATGTGGGGCTGACTTTAACACATTTGCGACGACACTATTCCGTGCGTATAGTAGCGTAGTCGTTACTGTTTTACTGATAACATTGTGAACATTCAAAGATAAACTAAACTATTATAGCTCATTTGCAAACCCTGAATCTCCTCTTGAAAACTAGTACAAAGTTACCGAGAACTATCTACAAAATAACTAACAGAAGTCCTTAAAAACTTGAGTTAACACCAAAAATAATCGTCGTTAGTACGACCCACCAGTGGTACGCATTGTCGCGACTGTGTTAAAAGAACACGATCACATAGACTTTCTCACAATCAAATCAAGAGATGCGTCTTTGGCATTCACTTTTATATGTCGTAGCCGTTGACGAAATTCAGCCGCTAACGAATCATTCGTAAACGGCTAGCGAAAAATTTTATTCGTAAACGGCTAGCCGTTTACGAATGATTCGTTAGCGGCTAGCAGATTACGAATGAAATTTTTTCACTAGCTGTGTACGAAATCTTTGTAATCGGCTTCTGCGAACATGGCTAGATTCAAATGAATTTATCATGATCTTGATTTCAAATTTTTTATGCAAAAAAAGAAAAGGGAAAAAAATTGATTTTGAAGCGAGTTATTAAAAGTAGTCAAAATGCCCCTTTGCTGAAATTGGGTCCTCCGGGAGGACTCCGCCCCATTGTTATCAGTGATTTCGGATTCATTTTCTTTCTGCTTTTTTTATTATTCTTTGGTTTTATTATACATAATCATTTGTTTTTTCAGGATCAATTCATTTCTCAACCAATTTGACGCGTATCAAGTCTTGAAAAAGCGAACGCGTATACTAACGACGAAAGAATACGAGGAAATTGTGAACAGATTGACAACAATGTCAAGTGAAAGTGAAAATGAGAAACGGAAGCGAACGACAGAAGAGGCAAATTGGGCACGTCGTTACTCGATTCAATGTATTGAGCAATCAATGATGCTCTACAATCATGGAGACAAAGGAGAGAACGAACAACCAAAACGAGTCGTCAAGAAAGAGGAACTCTTCGATGTTTTCACGTCAACTCACAAAAGACTAGGACACGCCGGCCGGAATCTGATGTGGAAAGAACTGCGAGGAGATTATCACGGGATCTCAAAGTAAATACTCGAGATTTTTATCAAACTTTGCTCGCAATGTGAATTAAAGAAGGGGGCATCAAAAAGGAGTTGTTGTGAAGCCGATCATAACCAAGGAGCAAAATGAACGCTGCCAAGCAATATAAACGCTTAATTGATCTTCAATCGGTTCCGGACGGCGACAACAAGTTTCTACAAGTGGTTTATCAGGATCACCTCACAAAATTTGTTATTCTTAAGGTTCTCAAAACAAAAACGGCTTTTGAGGTGGTCGATCATTTGACAGAAATATTTGGCACTTTTGGAGCCCCACAAATTCTTCAATCCGACAATGGACGAGAATTCGCTAACAAAATGGTATATTTTTAATGAAACCTAACCGTTTTATTGTGTGTTGAGCAATGTGTTGAGCAATCAACGATACTCTACAATCATGGAGAAAAAGGAACGAAAAACCAAAATGAGTCGTCAAGAAAGAGGAACTCTTCGATGTTTTGACGTCAACTCACAAAAAACTAGGACACACCGGCTGGGCTCTGATGTGGAAAGAACGGCGAGAAGATTATCACGGGATCTCAAAGGAAATACTCGAGATTTTTATCAAACTTTGCCAGGAATGTGAATTAAAGAAGGGGACGCCAAAAAGAGGAGTTGTTGTGAAGCCGATCATAGCAAAGGAGCAAAATGAACGCTGCCAAGTCGACTTAATTGAACTTTAATCGGTTCCGCATGCATTTTAGTTGATGTTTTGTTTGTTATAAACGTTATTATGTTATAAAGTAATAAAGTAAAAAGAAATAAAACCTGATATACGATGATCGAATCGTCGTCGAATTGTGCGAGAATGTGTTTCCCCCGATCTCGGCCATTCACCTTTTTGACTTGCATATGTGGCGCGCTTCAAAGGAAACTCCATAGATCTAAAAGATAAAATGTTAAACAAAATTGAAAATATTTTAAACAATCCGAGATTTGAATAAAAATTTAAATCACAATAAAAATAAAAATAATACGATTTTCGGCTCACGACAGAAACCTTAACGGAATAGTTTACAATAACTTTGAATGCAAATTGTAATTATAAAAAGCCATTGCCAAAACGTCAAAGCAATGTTTTTAGGGAGCTCTTAATTTCCGAAAAACATTCGAAAACGTGCATGAGATTCATCTGATCAATATTTTCTTTTCTCTCGGTTTCTTTGCGCCTGTCCGTCAGTATTGTGCAATCTTGTGTTCGCAGTATTTTCTCGAAAAGAACTGACCAAATTTGAGTGAGTCATTTTCGGAACTTTTGCCTCTGGAGGAAATGCAATGTATTTTGTTAGTAAAGTCTACTAAAGAATGAGATTTTATCAATAAAACCATTTATTCATATTAATTACAGCTTTTGTGACTGTGACTTGACGCGATTTTCGGTGTTTGGAGTGGGGGTGAGTGACCGGCTAAAGTGTTTTACTACTTGAAGTCATTAGAATATTTTTGTTTAGGTGCGTATACTTGTCTAACATTTGCCCAAACCTGGACACAGCTTAGAATATTGAGTATTCATTGTCAGTAGAAACCAAACTAATAGTAAGAGACTCACATTTTCGAAGAAAGATCCCCGAATGACCAATCTTTTTTGAGCATAGAAATTTCTTAATTCGATCCAGCGATGAATGATATAAAGTATTGATCGAAACCGGGATCGAGAGGCCAATGCAAAGCGAGCCAGTGATATTGTTAATGACTAAAGATATTTGTGGACCGAATTTGAGAGAATGTGATGAAGTGCTTTCAAACTTACATGCAACGAGCACATATAGAAAGTGCTCGCTCGCGCGTCTTTCGTGTCTCTCGTCAGCAACGCGTAAACGACTCCAGTACAAAAGAAGGTGGCAATCGAGAGCATCGTGCAATTATAAATACGGATTATCAAGGTTACTGTAGGGGCAGAAAAATCGATCATATTCTTTTTAAAAAGTTGGGTATTCGTTTTGAAAATGAGGAAGTTTGCCCTTGAATTCGATCCGCAATGCACCTGCAGCTGCTTTTTCCACCTTTCGTTTCAAAGTATGCAGTTAATCAACACTGAATTCAAGTACCTATTTTCAAAAATTTAACGTCAATTCTTTATGGGCAAGGACGTGTTGATGTTACATGAGTTTGGACTCAGATTTCATGATCGAGCACTTTCATTTAGCCTTCCCTTGATGGGCGGGCTAAAATTTCAAAATAAGATTCGTCGGTGAAAATAAGATTGGCCCAGTTTGCGGTGGTCAAACTTTCATACTTCTTTCCAAACTCGAGACGGATCTTCCTGTGCTTGGCAACTACTAAAGGCTTCTTGGCGGCACGTCTTGTCATCAATTCAGCACGAATCAGGCGTCGGCTCATTGACTTTTGATTTCTATCCTTGCAGAATTGTTGCTTGATGAGTCAAACTCCGTCTGGAGCATTGCGATTCGGGTCCTATTTGTGGGCCAACACGACCGCTGTTTCTTCCCGATTTTCTTTTCGTCCGGTGTCAACAAATATCCAGTTGACGACATTCTAAAATAAAAAAGTAATGTGGAAAATTTGACAGGTAGACTACCAAGTTTTATTTTAAAATCTGTAAAATAGCTTGAGGAAAACGAGGAAGTCAAAGTTTGCCTGTCCGGGACTTAACGTTTTCGATGATGTGTGATTTCTTGGCAAAGGTTTTTTTCTCGTTTCTGTTATAATAGTTTATTTTAGCATAGAACAATGACAAAAGGTGAGCCAGCAGTCAATTCAAGTACGGCGAAAAAGAAATCAAAAGATAGCAGCTTGAATAATTTGTCGTTTTTTTGAAAGTTTTTTTTGTCACTTCTAGCAAATTTGCGACGACACCAGAATTGCAGACCTTTTGCGAGACAATCATTGTTTTCGTGGATAACTACTGGCGGGTTGACTATGAAAATGAGTATTTGTGTGTTGCTTCTTAGCTAAATCCACAAACTTGCAAGGGATTCCAATTGCAACAACTCAAAGCCAAAACCGCACTCTCCACAGAACTTGGTTTGTTGTTTTTTGTAAAAATTAATTTTTACTTTTTAGAAGATTGCAACGCAGAGTGCCACTCGGCTCGCACAGCTTCATTGTATCAAATGTAAGTATTGGGCTTTACAAATGTGCCCCCTGATATTGAAGCACGAGTAGGTGTTCTTTTTCCTACTTTCGCTCTGATTGTTTTAGCACTTTCAAGTTTAATGGGTGTGTTTAGATATGCTTATATGAATCAATTCTCACCAGCAAGGCGGTTACGCACGTTCCATTGGCTCAATTCTGAACACTTCACAAGGATGCTCTACGGGATCTTGCTCGTCAAGGTTTGAAATGCTGTTGCGTGCCCGGCTCATCCGTTTCTGTTGAACGGCTTTTTAGGTGCACTTATTTTTTTTGTTTAAATTACATAAATTCTATTTTGGTCGGCTCGCTTCAATCTATGAAAACAAAAGGCGTGGACGTCTTCTTCCGTCAATTGTAGAGGATTTGGTCAAAGTGCACGATGCAAATCAGCGGATGATCCAGCCACGGTATTTATCCATTTATAAGAAAAAACATTTTTGTTTTATTTTAATCGGTTCCCAGCGCGATACACTCAGAAGTATGCGGAACAGTGCTATGAGGACGTTCGGCTTGAGGATCGCTCTTGTCTGCACTCCCGCCTCTCTTCGATCAGAGTAATGAAAGTAACAAAGATATCGAGAAGCATCGAAGCATTCCCACCAGCCTTGTTGATTAAAGTTCTTTTTTTTCGGGTTATATTCACTTTTTGTTATTAAAAATTTGTTTTGAAAATAAATACAAACTTATGTCTCTTTGCTGTTTCTTGGATTTATTGCGTTCAGTGCCTTGAATATCTAGTTTTTATGAAGAAAAACATTTTGTAAACGTCTATGTGTGTATTTGATACAAATAAAGGCGCGTAAGCTATAAAAAAATTCAATCTCTGAAAAGGGGTGCTTTTAAATATCTATTAAGTATCTATTTTGCAAAAATTCCGAAAGTGAATCTTCATTTCCCTGAGCCAGTTTTAGTGCATTTACGGTTCTTTATTCTTTTTTTATTTTTTTTTATTATTTATTCTCCAATGTTGCACATGTCGACCAGAGAGGCGCAAGGCGGGAATTCCATTACTTGAATTGGCTGCTGGCTCAACTTTTGTCGTTGTTTCCTGCTAAAATAAACTATTATAACACTTAGAAACGAGAAAAAAACATTTGCCAAGAAATCACACATCATCGAAAACGTTGAGTCCCGGACAGGCAAACTTTGACTTACTCGTTTTGCTCAAGCTATTTTACAGATTTTAAAATAAAGCTTGGTAGTCTACCTGTCAAATTTTCCACCTTACAGCTCACCGAGACAACTTTCTACAGAATTCACGCATTTTTTAAGTCATCGTGCATTGCGCCATCCCTACGACCCTTTGAGCTGCATTATTCACGATGTGGGCACCGCAATCAATCCTAAAATTGACGTGTAACTTTTAACTTCACAGAAACCCCTTACTTTTTGATAACAAGTAGAGCTGCCGCTTTTACAATGTTCGAAACGCGATCACTCACTATGGCTACGATTTTGTTTTGAATTCCCGCCTTGTGCCTCTCTGGTCGACATTTGCAACATTGGAGAGGAATTTCAAGATTTTGTTTTCTAACAAAGTAATACAAACTACATATATCGGTAAAAGCCTAAAAAAGAATAAAGTAAAAGCGCTCAAACATGGCTCAGGTAAATGAAATTTCGGAATTTTTGCTTGGTACTTGAACTCAGTGTTGATTAACTGAATACTTTGAAACGAAAAGTGGAAAAAGGGGGGTGGGACAAAGGTGCACCTTTCGACAAATTTGACGTGTCAGCGAGTTCTAATTTGTCGAAATTCGGAATCTACGCATATGATTCCCCTATGTGAAAACATTTTTAAAGCTCTACGGCCTTTTCTAAGGCCTTTTCCAGCGAAAAAAAAGGTGCACCTTTGTCCCACCCCCGGAAAAAGCAGCTGCAGGTGCATTGCGGATCGAATTCGAAGGCAAACTTCCTCATTTTCAAAACGAATACCCAACTTTTTAAAAAGAATATGATCGATTTTTCTGCCCCTACAGTAATCCGGATAATCCGTATTTATAATTGCACGATGCTCTCGATTTCCACTCTCTTTTGTGCTGGAGTCGTTTACACGTTGCTGACGAGAAACACGAAAGACGCGCGAGCGGCCACTTTCTATATGTGCTCGTTGCATGTAAGTTTGAAGTGGTTGTCAAGTTTTTTTTTTAAAGTCTGGTTGAGCGGTATTGTTTTCAAAAGCACTTCATCACATTCTCTCAAATTCGGTCCACATACAGGAATGTTCTAGCCAGACCTAGGATCTGTAAGCCAGGACAGACCAGTCAGAATCAGAGCTGTTTGAAAAAGCCTACCTAGCCTACCTAGGCTAGCCAAGCCAATGCCAATGGCTTTCACTTGGCCTTGGCCTAGAATTGCAGGTCAGATTCTAGGTAGCATACCGATTTTGCAAATAACTTGCGCCAAAAGTTTATCTAATTCACTAATTCAAACCGTTAGCCAGACCAAGCCTGACCCTGAAAGTTTGAGTATGGAACATCTCCACATATGGAATATTTATTTCCGTCTAAAAAACTAGGTCTTGATCTACTCGGTTGAAATTGTGCTCGCAACATCGGATATTCGATTGGCTCTCCCTGCGTCGGCTGTTTTAATCAATGGAATTTATTCTCAATTGAATATTCGCTCAATTTTTGTTTTGGTAGTTGCTGAATCTTTATCCTAGTTCGATTACAACTTTAGACACTGGGTCTAGCCCTTTATATCACCACTGTTATAATGTTTTTGTATGCTATTATTTTTCGAGCTTACCTCATTGGCGGGAAAAAACTCGGGTAAGTTTGAAGGTTGATGGAAAGTCAGATTTTGTATTTTCAATTAGTGAACCTTATTTGGCAAAACTTTTAAGACAATAAACAATATTAAACTTTCTGTCTTTCTAAAGTCCTTGTACTTCAATCTTTTTGTATTTAGAGGGTTTTCGATCCAAGAGAAGCATTTACACTTCGCTCTAATTTCCGCCATTTTACCAATCGTTTCCATAACATGTTTTCTGCTTTACTCTTCGGATGTGGAGAAAAACAAGATTCCGAAAGAGTTCGAGGTTTGGGTTCAATTTTCGAGGTCCCGAAAGAGTTCAATTAATAACACTAAAATTGGGCTGATCAAATGTAAATAGCCAGTTTTTTTACGTTGGTTCAAAGCAGATGCCTTTTAGGATTATCTCCTTATCATCGATCCTCGAGTCATCTACTTTAACATTTACTTGAACCCATTCATCCTTATTCTTGTTGCTTTGTGGTTTTTCGGGGGTGGAACTACTTATTTAGTGGCTCTTTGGACTCTTTACAGGTGTGACTTCATTTTTTTTTGTATTTAGTTGAAGATATTTTAGTATATTTTTTGCCTTGAACCAGAATCAAACCTATAGCGCAAAGACTAAACAATTACATCGTAAAGCTGTCTACTCCGCTGTGTTTTTGGTAAGCTTACCTTTCAATCAAACTTTCTATGAGCAAAGAGAGCCGTTTCGTTATTTCAAGCTTTCCAGTTTTGTAGGTTTAAAGATAATCGAAAAACAATTTTAAAACTTACAGTTCAGACGTGTGGCCTGGCTTGCTGACCTGATCCACAAAAAGTCCCTAATCCTAAGCTTGTTAGGAGCCAGTCATGGGTCTTCTTATTAACTCGAGCCAAACATAATTTGGATTACTGGCACTAGGGCGTAGTTGCAACCAGAGCTTTTTGAAAAAACCAAAAGTCATGGTTCATGGCTAGCCAGATCAACCCAAAGCCAATGACTTTCAATTCACTGGCTTTGAATTGCAATCCTACCGTGGATTTGGCCTAAAACCTTGGATTTAGCTTGGCATGGTCTGGAATTTATAGGAAATTGAACAAAAATCATTGGTTTAGCTTTGGCTTGATCTGGAAAATCGGCCCTAGGAACATCTCTGGCGATGAACTTTGCATAAGTTTTGTTTTCTAGATTGTGCCCACTTTCGTAATCGTTTCTCTATTCATGTTTGTAATTATTTTCGTGGTCATTTTGCAGAAGCTCGGCGTGAGTACAGATGATGCGTATACGGGTCAGAACTTTTCCATTATGTTCACAAATATCTTTAGTCATTAACAATGTCGCTTGCTCACTTTGCATTGGCATCTCGATTCCGGTCTCAATCAATACTTTATATCACGCATCGCTGGGTAGAATTAAGAAATTTCTATGCTTAAAAAAGATTGGTCATTCGGGGATCATTATTCGAAAAGGTGAGTCTTTAACTATTAGTTTGGTTTCTACTGACAATGAATAATCAATATTTTAAGCCTTGCCCAGGTTTGGGCAAATGTTAGACGAGTATACGCACCTAAACAAAAATATTCTAAAGACTTCAAGTAGTAAAAGACTTTAGCCAGTCATTCACTCCCACAGCAGACATCAAGAAGCAGACAGCGTCAAGTCACAAAAACTGTAATTAATATGAATAAATGGTTTTATTGATAAAATCTCATTCTTTAGTAGACTTTACTAACCAAATACATTGCATTTCCTCCAGAGACAAAAGTTCCGAAAATGACTCACTCAAATTTGGTCAGTTCTTTTCGAGAAAATAATGCGGACACAAGATTGCATAATACTGACGGACAGGCGCAAAGAAACCGAGAGAAAAGAAAATATTGATCAGATGTATCTCATGCACGTTTTCGAATGTTTTTCGGAGATTAACAGCTAAAAAACATTGCTTTGAGGTTTTGGCAATGGCTTTTTATAATTACAGTTTGGATTCAAAGTTATTGTAAGTTATTCAGTTAAGGTTTCTTTCGTGAGCCGAAAATCGTATTATTTTTATTTTTTTTTGTGATTTAAATTTTATTCAAATCTCGGATTGTTTAAAATATTTTCATATTTTGATTAACATTTTATCTTTTAGGTCTATGGAGTTTCCTTTGAAGCACGCCACATATGCAAGTCAAAAAAAGAATGGCCGACATCGGGAAAACACATTCTCGCACAATTCGACGACGATTCGATCATCGTATATCAGGTTTTATTTCTTTTTACTTTTTACAATTAAAAAAGAAATTAAAATTAGGTTTTTAATGAAGTAAAATTTTATATGCATATATTTATAGGTTTTATCTTGAGCTTTTTTTGTTTAAACTTTGTTTTAAAGTCAATTTTAGGCCTACAATCCGTTAATAGCTGAAGCAATCGTCAAGTCGCAGAATTTCCACTCGATCGAATGCCAGAAAAGTGGATACAGCATGTCGAGAATGACGTGGATCAAAACGAACTTTTTATGGATGATGTTTCGATCGGGTAATGATTTTTTAATAATCATTAGGCAATTGGTTTTTCGAGGCTCTTTTGAAATTGTGCTACTTTAAAAGCATCATCAATTTTAGGCTGGGCAACAAAGCCAAATCAAGAGCGAATTTTGGCGTTGAGATTGCGACGCGACGGCTTTGAGATGATGCTTTCGAAGGCTGTTTCATCGAAAACTGGCGGAGAATCGTCAAAAGGGGACGGGGTTAGCGCTTTGGGTTTTCTAAGGGACTTATCGTATTTATTCTAATAGAAGCGCAGCCTTCAATAGAAGCAATAACTATAGATCTCCATCTTAGTAGACTTAATGCCCTGAGTTTTGAGTCTTTAAGGATATATATAAAGCATTTCCTTGAGAAAAATTGCACTTTTTATCATTTGTTTCGCATAAGCAGTGCCAATTTTGATAAGTTTTTCTTGCATTAGGTAGGCAGCTTATTTGGAGCGATTTAGAACTTAGACTAGGTAATTAAATTCCGTCGAATTTAAGATAGTTTATGCCGTAAAATTCTCAAAACTTTAAACATTTTGACGTTTTTTAGTATCCAATCCTTTAACAAAGAATCTTCTTGGCTTAGTTCTTTCTTTGTTCTTGCAGAAACGGCTTAAAAAGCTAAAGTTAATTATTTCTTAATCAGTAGCTTGCATTGACCATGATAGTGACATATTGGTTGAAGTCGACGACTCTAACGGTAATGAAATCGAGAATAAGATTTTTTTTGACGATTGAATTGTTTTAAATTGGCTGTTACCTAAAGGTTTTTTTCTACGAACTACTTATCAATTTTTTAGTCATTGGAAAATAGAAGCGCAGCCTTCAATAGTAGCAATTTTATGGAATGATTGAAAATCGCGCTTGCGCTTCTATTAGAATAACCATTTTTCTATTCAGTGAAGATTGGGCAGGCTTGTAAAGTGCCGTAAAGTTGCCTTATCTATAATTGTTCAAAAGGCCTGAAGCTAAAGAAACTAAAGTATGGCCAACAGCGGGACTTTTTACAGACTAAGTGAATTGCTAAGGTTTCAGTAGTTTTAGATACTCAAAGAACTACTTGGCTTCCTATTTCCTATTGCTTCATGTCTAAAAATGAGCCATCACGCTTAGCCAGGATAAACTCGATCATAAAGTTTAGGTTCGACTCCAATGGGATCCCGATCATCATCCAAGTGGCGGTAAACACGAAGAAAGACGGGCAATTCAATTGGGAATCCGAGGATCGATGCTTGAAAGGTTGTCAAAAGAATTTCTTGTCTCCGTTTACGATATCACTGACTTTGTAACCGAAAATCGGGCTTTTATTCGTGATTTTGAGAGACTTGTTGTCCCTTATGAAACAATTTATCCATTGTCTGACGAATTGAAGCAAGGTTTGGATATGATTTGATTTCTTGATTCTCTCATTTTATAGATAATTATGTAAAATAAACTGTGTGAATGCAAATAAGGTGAAGAATTCTGTTTTATTCTGTCTAATACAGCAAAAAAAATGTTGCCATCTCAACCGTTCGGTGTTCAACTTTATGCGTCAATTGTCAATTTCATTTGTTCGATCGTTTTCGTATTTACAATGCAATCCAGGAAATAATTGGAAACTCGATTGTAAAGCGAAAATTTATGAGAACCAAAACAATCTTCGTCGTTGAAATGACACCTCGCGTCAAAACGAAGAGGAATGGTCGCTTGTAAAATGTTCTTATCACCTTTGATTCGAAAAAGATTGAATAAACATTTAGTATTCATTGAGTTGTTATTAAGGAAGTTTTAAGTTTACCATATTTCAAAAAACGTTTTATCAGCCGAAAATCTCTGCCTGCTAAAACGCTGTTATCTAGTATCCGCAATGAATCTCGGTTTGTTGAACCGGGCACGTCCGCTTCAAAATCTCGGCTGTGAGCGATAACGGCTCTACGTAGACGCTAATTCCCAATCTTTGCCCTTTCCTGTTCTGCCATCCTCGCATATAAAAGAGTTGGCCTAATCATAGCCAGAGTGTCTTTCAAAGATGAAATTTCTCGTGATTGCCTGCGCTTCCTTGACCGTCGCCCTTGCAGTGAGTTTGATAGTTTGTAAGGCTTGTACCGTTTGTCATTAAGCGCCTGTTCACTTGCCTAAATATAGGCACACAATATAGTATTCTGATACTTTTAATTTAAAACTACTGTAAACTAGAAACGACTAGAAACGTATTCGATCTTGAAGAACGTTAGACAAAAATATACTTTTCGAGTGTCCCCTCTCTAAATTTTCAGTTTTTAGTTTCTTTCTCAAAAACTAGTAGATGGTTCTGGGAGTTCAAAATACCATTCGATAGCAAATTTTTTGAAGTATAAGCCATTGCGAATCCCAGAATATTTCAAATAGAGCCTAGGGGGACACATTATGGGAGTACTCTCCCTTCTACACTTTGTAGATTTTCTCGCCACCCAATAAGCCATTCGCAATGGCTTATACTTCAAAAAATGTGCAAGAAAATTTGCTATCAAATGGTATTTTGAACTCCCAGAACCATCTACTAGTTTTTGAGAAAGAAACTAAAAACTGAAAATTTAGAGAGGGGACACTCGAAAAATATATTTCTGTCTAACGTTCTTCAAGCAACCTTACATTTACATTTAGAACCTTACATTAGCTTCACTTATCAAATTGATTATTTGAATTTGAAAAACATCATTGCGTGCAAGTGCCTATATTTAGTCAAGTGCGCGTGAAGTAAAGTGAAAGTCAACCAGTTCTATCAATCAGTCAATCATTCTAGACAGAGAAGTTACCCTGATCGTTTTCCCAAGTTTGATGCTGAAACTAGTTTCAGCAAACGGGAGCCACTGGGACCCCAGCACCGACCGGACATCCCGTCGATCCATGCCAGATCTGTGACTATATCATTCAACAAGCCGCTCACCATTTGAGCAAGGGATACACCGAAGACCAACTCCAGAAGGAACTCGTTTCTGTAAGTAAAGGACTTCAGTTACCTTGTAAGGTCAGTGAACTCAAAGCAACTTTCAGGACTGCCAAAGTTTGACAAAATTCTATGGGCCTGATGTGGTCGCCGATTGCACGACTACCGTCACCACCAACATTGACACAATTTACAATGACTTGAAAGCCGGTAGGTGAACAGGTGAACAATTTGTTTGACAAAACAAACAAAAGTTAGCTAGATTCTTGAATTCGAATGAAAGGAATCTAGAACTCAAACTATAATTCTCAAAGATTACGCTTTCAGGCAAAGAAGGTCACTCAATTTGTATCGACATTGGCAAATGCGTTCACCCATCTCATCCCACTGGAGCCACCGGAGCACCAACAGTCACCGGTGCGCCAGTGACCATGCCGATGGCCAACCGAGCTTACCGTCGCAAGTATTTCTAAATGAAAATACCTTTTTGTAAATATTATGATCTTGTTTTTTGGTTATGATGAATAAAGGCATTTTGTTTAGTTTGGATAGTGGACTGGCAATTCTAAAAGTTGGCATAAAAAGTTTTCCTTTTCCAAGAAAGAAATCTCAGCTTCTAACGCTCTAATACTCAACTTCAATGCTCAAAAAGTTCTAATGATATAAAAACTTCAAAATTTGATAAATAATGCTTAGAATTTCAATTTTAGGTTGAGCGTTTTGGCTTTAAAACGCTTATAAGCTGCAGCTAAAAGTGTTGAGATTTAGATTTTTCAAAACAAGACACAAGAATACACTTTTTTTCAAAACTGGTAAGCCAATGGATCAATATAAAGTTGTAAAATAGTCCAAAGTCTTGAAAAAGACCAATCTCCAGTCAATTACAATCATCGATTCATTTCAGAGCAGAATCAGGCTTGAAATCTTTGCTGTTAGCAAAGAGAAGCGGTAATTGGTCTGAAGAAGATCTGCTTGGGGAAAAGTGATTTTTCTGGTTAAATATCATTCTTTTCATTCATTAATATCAGTTCTTTAATGACTCTTTAGATTTTCTAAACTCTTTTAAGCTTTTAATGTTTTCAGATGTCTTTCATGGAGCCAATGTCTTTTGGTGAGGAGAGAGAAATGAGCACTTTTCATGAGTTGCAAACGGTGCGCAAGGAGGTGCAACGAGGTAATAATTTAAAGTTAATGATTTAACAAATAGATATTCAGCTAGTTGCCTTATATTCATATATATAAAAGATATTCAGCTTATAAAGTCTTACCTAATTCATAGATTTTAGCTAATAAAGCAATTTGCATAGGCTTATCAGTAGCACTGGCGTTTTGCCTAAAGCTTTGCTGCTTTTCATTCTCTTTGCTTTGATTTAGTAGATCACTTCTGTTGCAACTTTTAACAATGAATATTTGGATCTTATTCCAGAAGTTCCAATGGATTCCTCGATTGTCTCATCCTTAAGTGACCCGATCGCCGACTCTTGCGCTGCATCGAATTCCGGGAACTCATTCATCGATGAAAATGCTTCTTTTGTGAGTCAGGTAGGTCATGTTTAAGCTTTCTATTAAATTTGGGTATTAAAAAACCTAGTTCAACTAGTCTGTAGCTTTTTTTCTTTTGCTTTAGACAGCAAATCCGGCAATTAGAGAGAGCCTTGTGGGGTAATTTATTCCTTAAAAACAAAAAGTTGAAGAAGGTTTTAAAGAAGCAAGACAGACAAAAAGAAAAAGAGAAAGATTACAAAAATTGAATTGCACTAAATAGTGAAATTCAGGATTCGGGAGCTGATTCATTCTTGAGGCCTTCATCGCCAAATTCCACCGCCAATACCTCGATCATTTCGACAGCTTCACAAAAAAGACGCAAAGCTTTGGTGAGAAAATTTTAAAGATTCAAGTGTTAGATCTGATTTTGAACTAAACTAATTGCGGTTTTATTTCAGAAAACATCAACTGACAGCGGTTTACCGTCAAAGTGCCGAAAATGTTTGAAAGTGATCGAGTTTCGCAATCGAAGTCGCCACTCAGCTTTTCACTCAAAGGTATTCTAAATCTAATAATTAACTAAAAGGCACAATTGAAAATGTTTTACTTTATCAGAGGAAATGGAAAAAAGGAGAAATGATATTATCCAGTTTTTAGATCTTTCGTTTTAAATGCTCTGATTGTGAGTACAAGGCTCATTTGGCACAAAACGTCCGTACACACATTCGAATGGTTCACAAAGGAGTGGGAGAGGTTGTCGAGAATAAGTGCGTTGAAGGAACTGGGTGGGAAAGTATGAAATGGCGCCGACTTTCAAAGAAAGTTCTATAAAACCTAATAGTCTTTACCAAATGATAGGTAGTGTCATTAGAAAAATCACTTATTAGGGTGATAGGAATAAAGCAGCGCTCACATATCTTTCCAAAAATATAAAAGATTGCAAGCCCGAGCCCAGTTTTGCTTCGACGAGGCAAGCTATGCTATTCAAAAGCCCTGAAATTCCTCTACAAAAAAAGACGAACAAACAAAAGAAGTTTTTTAATGTTATTTTGCAATAACTTTCATTTACAAGTCATTTTGTAGAGCAATGGTCGACGTTTTTGATTTTATGGATGATATGGAGCTTTTATGTATTCCAGAAAAATTTATGAAAGTCAGCGCCATTTCATACTTCCCAACCCAATAACATGGATGATGATAAAACCCAAAATATTTTTAAAATTTGAAAACTTTTTCAGATCTCTAGAGCTGGCCAACGAATATCTCCGCACCTATGCTGAATGCTTTGGCGAGAAGAAGACTCGACACTCGCTCGAGATCTTCAGGTACAAGGAAAACTTTGAAATTTCATGAATACTTTTTCAGTGGTCGAAAAAGCGTCGACGAGGCAAGCTACTTTGATGACTCTGGGGTTACAGTCGGCTCTTTCGACAGCACTTTCTCTTCCCAGGGATCTTACATGCCGGACGAGTTCGAGAAAACTTTAGAGATCATTGGTGTAAGTGACTTTTCTTTTTGAAAAACTGCTTGAATTAAAGAGTAAAGTTAAATCCATCAATGCTTGTGAACAGAAAAAACTTGAAGAACACGCAATTTTTGCAGGAACAAACCGTTTCCGCGCGAACCATGGAGTCGATCATTACTCGAGGCACCAAAACCTACAAGTGCACGGTGAGTAGAAAGTTTTGCATTGATCTATCTATAAAATTTTCATAGAATTACTGATATAGCAAGATATATTGATTAGAATTATAGCAAGTTTTACTGAAATTTCAGAGATGTGCCCGTTTCGTTGGCCGCACAAAGATCCCATGCCATGCAGCAATTCACTCATCCCGTAAACGCTTCAGGTTAGTGCCAGCTTTTCAACACTGAATTTCCAAATCTGATTCTTGATTTGCAGTGAGATTTGTTTTAGATGCAGTGAATGCGGAGTTTGTCACCATTCTCGTGCTAATCTCAAGACTCACATTCGACTCTGTCACGAGAACAAAGGAGAGGTGCTCGACGAGGCGTGAGTTTTAAAGTTCATAAAGATTTTTTAAGAAGGCCACAATAAACTTAGTCACAATAATAGTAATTGCAAGTCACATTTTAGCGATGACGCTCTCATCGACGAGATCAAAAGCCTTGAGAGAGAATGTTTCCCCGATGCTGCGCTAGTGCAGAGAACTCGTCGAAGTGCACCTTCAAGAGCCCAGAAAGGTCAATTTTAACCCAAAATTTTAACCTAATACCTAATAAGCACATTGAGTTTGTATAATAAGTCAAATTTCTAGTCAAGTTTTTATTCCAGAAGCTCATCAAATTCTCTGCATTCTCTGCATTTGAAATAATTAAAGTCAGAAGAAACACATTTTGGACTGAAATGGAACAGTATTTCTGAGACAAACAGTTTCTTTTTCAGATACTGTCAAGAAGACCGTGAAGAACCAAAAGAAAAGCTGCAAATTGGTGGAAAGTGCTGAAGATGACGAGGATTCAAATGGAGAAGAAATTTCTCAAGAACTCTCAACCCTACCTACCAAGAGATCAACTCGAAATGTGAAGTCACTAGACTACGAGAGTTTCAATTACGAGGAACTCGAGCACGACAGCGCGGATGAGTCTGATTAAATGAAAAGTTAAAGAGTTTATCTCATTTGTAGTCATATATTCGATGTTTAAGCTTTAATCCGATAATTAATAATGTCTCCTAAATCTTTCCCGGTACGATTTTTATCTTTAATGTTAAAATTCAAAGCCAAAAACTTGTTTCATGTCATTTGTACTGCAGTTTTTGAATAAATAGTCACTAATTTAAAATTTAAACAAAAGTCAATAGAATTCTTTTACATATCCCATCAGAATAAAGTACCCTACCCGAGATTGACAAATATCACTTACTCTCCATTTCCACTTATCTGGAATACTCTAGTCTAAAGCATTTTGGTGTTAAATAAGTTCCTAAAGCGTGTCGGCATTAAACTTGATCGAAAGTTGACACTTCTTACGCTAAAACTCACACATCGGATTTCGTAGAGAAATGTGTGAATTCAGTGTGCGAATAAAAATCAGTGCTAAGCTTTCAAATTGGATTAGGAAGCAGATTGATTTGCTAAACAGAGTAAAGTATTGATGGCAACCATTGTTTTTCTAACTCTAATCTTTTATAAGACTGGCCTGCTCGACAATAATCGAAATTCTCAGGTTTTATTTAACAGATACCAAGCTAGCTAGTGAAGAGATCTGAATTCACTACTTACAGCCTTTTTCCGAGAAAATCCTGGGTTTAAAGCGTGGTAAAACTACCGTACTCCTCTAATTTTTTAATTTTTTTAATTCTTGTTCATTTCATTTTATTCTTTTTACGTTTTTTTCAACGTTTCAACGTTTTTTCAACTAAAAAGTTACAAAAACAAAGCTTTCACCATAGAAAATGATAAAAACTGCTTAACTTAACATTAGTTGGCATCAGGTTCGTAGTAATCATTTAAAGGGTCTCTATAAGTTCTTTTGGAAAGACCGTGCCTACACGACACTTATGTTGGGTTTAATGGTCGTCAGCTATCTGTTCGTCTGCTTGGGTCTGATACTTCTTTCCATGGATTTCTTGAGGTTTTGTACTTTTGCCTTTAAATGTTGAAAGTTATAATTTAGTTTCGGTTTGGAAAGCAACAAACTAGCGGCGATTTTCGAGTAAGAAATCTAAAAGCCTATTTCATTTGAATAATGTTATTTTAGAATCATCAAGTTCTACGCACTGCTTTTTTACGAAGTTTTCTTTTTCCTCAATTTTATCTTTGCCGCTTTGTGGACGTTACGCGTTTTGACGGTTTTTCCAAAACTGAGCGCAATTGTTATGACAATCAAGAAAATGGTTGGTTTATCTCTTTGGAAAAGAATTTATAAAAATAGGAAATTCTGGGTTTTGTTTGAAATTAATGCTTTACGTGTTTGAAATTAATGCTTTACGATTAGAAAAAAGCAAAAAAAGCTTCTTAAACGGGCACACGAACGTTCGAACTCAAAGCTTTTCAAATAATGGTTTTTTTTCGACATAAATTCAATTAAATTTAAGCTTGAGTTATCAGCGAATTTCTTGCTGGTCTCTTTGTTCTTCTGGGCCACATATGGTTTATGCCAGGTTTCCCCCCTCTTTTTCCATTTATATGTTTTTCTTTTCCAGGTTTCACTACGTGGAATAAATAACGAGAGCAGCATACAGTGGTCACTTTTTTCGTATGTTTTACGGTAAAAACTATCGATAAGCAGACTTTTCGCATTTAGAAATGGAGCCTTCGAGATCTTTGGCGAATTAGACGAAAAAGTCAAAAATGGTACACATGTTTGGAAACTTTATACAGTTACAGCCTAGTTAAAATTAGTAATAAGTAATTATTAAGTTGGTAATAACGTAATAAGTAAATGAGATGCAGGGCTGGACGAAAAAGCCAAAAGCCATGGCCCTGATTTGGTCCAGCCAGATGGCCTGACCTGACCCTGGCCTGGCCTGGCTTGGAAAATCGTCACTTCGTTCAGCCCTGATAAGATGGCAAGGGTTATGGAGTTTTGGCAGGACTATTCGAAGTTATTTGATTATGTCGCAAGCTAGAAATTTAGGCGAAGTAAACTGCACGATGCCCTTATCATGGATCGATTTCCAAGCAAACGAACTTCAGGTGACTAACTATTTATTCAAATTTTAGAAAAAAAATGTACCTACAAACAATACAAACAATTAGTGTCGTATTTTAAGTGTAGAAGGTGGGCTCCATTGAATCAATAGACTCCTTGATGCCATTTTCCACCTCCCCTTGAGTAGCAAAGCATTTCTCCGATAACAAGTGATAGAGGAACTTGAAAAAGTCGAAATCCGGAGGCGACAAATCAGGAGAATATGGAGCATGAGGGAGGACTTTCTAATGACTTTCTTTTTCTAAAAATCTAATGGCGCAAGTCAGCCTACCCCTTTAAAATCAGTTTTTAAAGCGATCAGTAGAACTCGGCCATCGGTTTGACGAGTTGCATCATTGGTCCAAGTTCCGTTTTAAGCTAAATACTTTTCAAGGCCAACTGACAGAGCCGGACTTACTTGACTGATAATTGATTTCATAGTCGCTGTCTTCACCGAAGATTTCAGCTCAAAGTTGACTTGCACTGAAAGAGTATGAAGATGATACTCTAATTGCTTCATGGAATGGATTTCTTGCAGGGATCCTAATCTGAAATCAAACTGAAATCAAACAAAATCAATAATCTGGAGTTGCAAATTCCTTCAGACATTAAACGTTTTCTAAAAGATGCGCTTAAGGGGAGGCTACCAAAGCACTATTATGGTGCTTCTAGCTACCTCCTCGCTAGAAAAAGCCATCGTAATCTTTGTTACGGCATTTTTTTAGATAAAAAACTTCCTAAAAAGTCTAGCAACGGTCAATGTTTATGTCAAGAAACTTACTTCTATGTCTAACCACCCTTCTAACGGCTTCACAATGTAAACCTTAACACCTCTAGATCTTATTGGATTTCAATCTTCAAAACTCCAGCTCTGAATCTCACCCTCCAAGATCCGGGCACCAGCAATACTGTCTGCAACACGAGATCTTCACAAAAAGGAAAAGAAACGTGCCACCAAGAGCAATCAACACAATCGAAACGGCACTCATTTCTTTAGGTTTTGGAAATGATAGCAAAGTGCTACCTAAAAAAAATAAGCCCATCTTTGAAAATAAGCCTACTTGGAGTGATTAAAAGTTTCGGAGATTCGGTTAGAATGGCTTACCAAAGACCTAATCTAAGTCTAGATTTGCTTAAAATTTCAAATTCAGAGAACCGAGTATTGTGACAATCTGAACTGAATGACGGTTGTGCTGGATTTCGCGATTGAGGAGTTATCTTGTCATAGTCAACTAGAAAATTAGTCGTTGAATGAACGGATTTTTGAATCTCAATCTGTTGCAGCCAAGCCACAATGAAAAGGAAGATCAATAAAACATCTCTTCAAATAAATGTTCTCTCCTTTTTCTCTTATCTTTTGATTTGGTGCTTCAACAGTAAGTCGATTACCAGAGAAAGCTCTTGACCAAGCATAATCCGTGAGTTGAAAATAGTTTGATTCACGGCTCATATCAATTCATATCCGGCTCTTCGAACCATTCTTTCAACCAATGAAAAACTTGATCACCAAAGGATATATCTTTTAAGGATCCTGAAAAATAATGTGCTTGAAAATGAAGTTTAAATTAAGATTTTATAGACATCGAACTGTTAGCTATCAGATAAAGCACAAAAAATTTGATAATTGGATTTTTCATCAGGTCGAATGAAATAAGGCTTTCGCTGTTGTGCGAAACGCAGTGGAATCTCCAATTCGAGATATGAATCGTTTTTTCAGACGCTGAAAACGAAGTAATTTAATCATATTGTTATCAATGTCGCATTCTTTGTCTATTCACTTACCTGATAAAGTTTAATGAAAAGATCTCGATAGTATTTTGTCACAAAAAGAACGATAAGACAATTGCCCGAAGAATGCAAAGTGGTTGTCATTATTGCATAGGAAAAAATTTTGTCTGAAAATGAAACCGTATAAATAGGAGTTTTAAATACTCACTTGTTTGCTTATCTGGAACAAGTGCTGATAAACACATTATAATCAAAGGTAGAATACATATTGTCCCCAAAAAGATCATCTAGATATTTTTAGTGACACTTTTTTTACAATTGGTTTAGGTGAGGTTTTGACTAGATATTTGTCATACAAATTTGGCTTTTTTTCGGCTGATTTACAAGCTTTACTCATTACTTGTTACCTTCTGCCTTCTGGCTACAGAAGCGTTTCGGAAAAAACTAAAAGCAGATTCAGAATCCTTGATGAAAACTCTATCAGATGGGCCAAAGCTCATGTGAAAACTCGATCTTGATTTGACAACATTTCCTAGTTAGATCATCGAATAGATCTGTGAACACAAAATCGGTCGGTCGGTCCCCTTTTTGAAACCTAGAGGTCGAGATAAAATCTTCAAGAACGGAACAAAGGTAGAAAATTCTATCGAAGACAAATTCTATCAACTTCATCGCCTCTAGACAGCCCGAATTTTCTTGCTGCAGGGATCGAAAAATTGGCTACTCGTTGGTAACAGTGTATTGGCTCTAACGGTTGTTATTTTGACTAATTTGATTTTTTTTGAATAAAAATGCAGTTATTTTCCGGAGTACCTAATAAATATCATCCGAGAATCCACTCATGTACCTGAACAAACGAAACTCGTAATAATTGTTGATGCATCGTTTGTGTTTTGATACCCAGAGGAGGCCCGAGATGAGGAAGTTTGCATAAAAGAATTACAACAACAAGGCCCCAACTAAAAGCTTAACTTCGAGACGATTTAAGTTACTCCGGTGTTACTTAACAAATAAGTCGAACGTATTTTTAGTTTAAAGTATGAGCACTACACGGATTTTCATTGATTTAAAAGATCAACCTCGCCGCAAAGAACAGGATAAATCCGAATGATGCAAATAACAGGGGAAAATTTGAATCGTTTAGAAGAACCGAAAAATCAATTGAAGCTTCGATCTAAGAATTGTTTAATTGTATCTTTCTCTAAAAATTTTTAAGGTAAATAAAGTTACCGTATTATTTTTGTGTATTTGATTTGGAATCACCAAATAATCAATGTAAAAGACGAATGTGATCACCAAGAGAAATATGCTCGTGTAAAAAAACTAAAAAAATTAACACTTTTCAAAATTGGTTTCTTTTCATACAGAAAATATTCGTCGAACTCGAATTTCCCATTCTGGAGACGATATAGCGAGACATCGAAGAAAAAAATTATACGAATGTAAAAGAAGATGGAAGAAAGTGAGAAAGCAATAAATGTGCTAGAATTTGCAGTTAACAAGAAACAATAACCATCTCATCTTACAAAAAATATGAAACATTCCGTTTGACTGAAATTTGTTGAACTTGCTGAAATCAGGGTGGCAGGTGGGATAATTACAGGGCGAGAGATGGACAAAGTAGTCGTCATTGATAGGGAACATAGCTCAAATGAGATGTTAAAGGGGGCTGATTCCAAGTGAGAAATTTTCATCGCCGATAACTATTATTTTGTTTTTATTTTTTATACCAAAAATAGCAGAAACTAAATCGACTGATTGATTTCCTGACATTTTGTTGATGATCTTCTCCTGCTGCGGCAGACAGGTTTGGGCGAGCCAATTGGCAAGCCACTCTCCTCGCAGAAAATTAGAATGATTTCTTATTTAACTTTTCTTTCGAGATCAGGGATGATGAAGCTATTGAAGATGACCAACTGACGTACGTCATTGTTGAGTTAGCACAATTGGAAATTTTCCTGCAAGATTGCTATATTTGCGGGAAAATCCAAGGAGGCCAAAGTAAAGGGCAAAAAATCAATTGGATAAGAAATGGAATTTGCCGTGTCAGCCTTAACTCGATGTTCGTATCAAGATGATAAAAAGATTTGATGGTCGACACAGAAGTTTGTAGAAGGTACAGAGACTTGATTGGTCAACCTTACAATCACAGCAGCCGCTCAAGTCGCACAAATTGGCCACCCTAACGTGGCTTTCCTGGAAATCCTGGATACAAATCATCAAGATAATATTAAAATGAGCCAGATTCTCATTGAAGGCTTGGTATAGTGTTATTATCAATGCCCAATAACATATTTAAACTGTTCACCCAATTGGAACCAACAACCCTTTCTCCAATGCCAGATTGACAGTCCTAGACCACTCGACCACGCGTATAAAGGAGCTTCAGTAATTCCCCTTTTACTCTCTCTTAATATAAGTAAAGATCAGAATGATCATTTAGCTTAGAATCAACACAAGATTATCATTTACTTACAATGATCGCAATTTGAAGCATTCTGAACGTTTTAATGTGATCTGGAGCTTTCACACAACTGAATATACCAATAGTGGGTGAGCAAATAAAGGCATCGATTGAAAATTGAATTAAATAAAGAGTGTCGAGAATTGAATATTCTGACATTTGAGTCTAATAGTGGGGAAAAGTGAGCCAAAGGTAACTGTTTGTGAACCCAAAAAGTAGACGAGTTGGAAATGAAAATGGAAACAGGTGTTTTTCTGAGAGGCAGAAGACAGATGTAAACTTTCAGAAATGGTTTTCAGCCTGTAATGAACATCTGTTAAACCTTACAGTATATTGTAGTAATAAAAAATGGCCTGCGTTATTTTTGGCTAGCATTAGCATTTGTTTGAGTGAAATTTGCAAATAAACTTTGCAATTAAATGCAAACTTTATTGAGCTTGATTTACATTTGAAAATGAAAATGGAAACAGGTGTTTTTTGAGAGTCAGGAGACAGCTGTAAACTTTAAGAAATAGTTTTCAGCCTGTAATGAACATTTGTTAGATGCTTTATTTATGATCTCATTCGTGAGGAGTGAGAGATTTTAATCGGAATATAGAACGGTCAAACTTTAAGGAAAGATTACGGTACTTTGCCAGTCGCCCACCTTGCAAGAAACACACTTTTGAGTAAAAATCACCTCTTTTCCTCAGCGGCATGTTCATGAACGATCTGATCTGGCTTGGCCCGACTTCCAGAGCCCGTATGCTAAGCACCGGGAAAGTTTCTGCCGGAAACTCTGCCGGATCAGGCCTTGGGATTCGGTAAGACAGCCAGGCCAGGGCTCAGGCTCAGGTCCTGGTTTGACCCAGGCCTGCCTTAGGTCCAGATCAGGTCGTTGTCTGGCCAGGAGTCAGATCAGAATTTGTGTTGGGTCACCTCCTTGCACTGGAAGAGACAAACTTGAAGCACGATAGCATGGTAGTTGTTAAAGTTGATGCATTTTAGAAAATACATTAGTTGAAAGGAGACTCTACCTAAAATCATGATACTATTGCTGTGAATCACAGCCGGTCCCATTACCGTATTTACCTTAGAAAAGGTAAATACGGTAATACTTGGAATACGTAATAACGTATGGTAGGTACTTTCATTTAATTATTTTTTAAACACTTTGGTTAACAAGTTGTTTAAAATAGAATAAGGCTTAAAAGTTAACTCCTTTTGATCTCGCCTAGTTCCAACTTAAACAATACAGTTTAGAGTAGAGTGTGTATATCTCGAGTAATAAAGAAGTGAAGGAATTCGCAAGAAAAAGTAGATTTCCGGAAATCGGGAAATACAGCTAATAAAGTAAAGAAATGAATGACAAAGAATTTGAAATCGAGGGGATTGAACCCTCGACCTTTTGCTTTCCGGGAAACTGCTCTAACCACTGAGCTATCTGATACCTTGACTTGTCAAGAGAAAGAAGGAAAGACGGGAAGAAGAAGGAAGAAAGAAGAAAAAAAGAAAGAAGAAGGTCCGCGCGTTTTCTAACGCGCGGACCAAGAAGAAAGTTAGTTTTGTGAATGGCCGAGTGGGTCACGTGTTTGCTTCTTAAACGAGCGGCTGTTAGCTCGCGGGTTCGAACCCCGTCAGCGTCAGCACTTTTAAGAAAGAATCCTGATTTACGTATAATTTGCTAAAGAGTGCCTGCAAACATGATTAAAGACAAAATAAATGTTTTTGATCACTGAAACCAGCTAAAAACTGAGCAAAATCTTTATAGAATAAAATGATTGGCTCCTTTCATACTATTGGGTTGGTGAATTGAAAACTGCGGACTATTGTCATATGTGACAGTTTGAGCACTTCCTTCAAAAGAAACCCATTTTGGTGTCAATGGAAAAGTTGTAGAGAATCAAAAATTAGGCTTATAGCCAAATTTTCAGAACGATTCAAAAACTGGTTTTCAAGAAATGCCAAATTTACGAATTTCCACAAAACTTGCATTTTAAGCGAAACTACTAAGTGTATCGTTTTGGAAATTTGGCTAAAAGCCTAATTTTTGATTCTCTACAACTTTTCTATTGATACCAAAATGGGTTTCTTTTGAAGAAAGTGCGCAAACTGGGCTGACAGCCGACATCTCCAGTCCTCCATTTTTGAGTCTCACACTTGTCTCACACACAAGCCAAAATCCTACTACGAAAGAGGAATCCGCAAAATGGCTGTAAAATGGGCAAAAGTCGTCAATAATAATGGGAATTATTTGGAATGAATTCATGGTTTTATGTTGAATAAATTTTAGTTCAAAGTCCCGCAGTTTTCAATTCACCAACCCAATAAATTGCTAAAGGAGCGCGTTTTAGAATGGTTATATGACGCTTTACTTGACGCTTACTCAAGCGGAAAATTACTCAAGTAATTACTTATTTGAGATGCACACACTCTAGTCTAAAGTATTTTGGTGTTAAATAAGTTTCTAAAGCGTGTCGGCATTAAACTTGATCGAAAGTTGACACTTCTTACGCTAAAACTCACACATCGGACTTCGTAGAGAAATCTCGATGAATTATGTTTTTGTCGGATAAAAACGTCTGGAAGTGATTGTTTTTAACTTTCTTTACCAAAGCATCACTGATTTGCTAGGCGATTGGGATCAAATCGTTGAATTCTATAACATTCAACTGAATAACGTTGACAAATATAATATTTCAGTGAACTCACAATATTTTTATAATCCAATCCAAGATTTCTGACTAAAGTCAAGCGATCTCCAAGTTCACAAATCTCAGTCAAGATTAGAGGGTAATTTGGAGCCGTTGAACAGGCGATCAAAGAAAGAATATGAGGATGATACTCTAATTGCTTCATGAAATTGATTTCTTGCAGGAATTCTAATCTGAAATGAAACTGGTAATCTAGAGTTGTAAATTCCTTCAGACAGTAAACGTTTTCTAAAAGATGCGCTTAAGGGGAGGCTATCATAGCACTATTATGGTGCTTCTAGCTACCTCCTCGCTAGAAAAAGTCATCGTAACCTTTGTTACACATTTTTTAGACAAAAAATTTACTAAAAAACTAGAAACGGTCAATGTTTATGTCAAGGAACTTCCTTTTATGTCTAATCACTCTTCTAATGGCTTCACAATGTGAAGCTTATCACCTCTAGATCTTATTGGATTTCAATCTTAAAAACTCCGGCTCTGAATCTCACCCTCCAAGATCCGGACACCAACAATACCGTCTGCAACACGTGCACATGCAAACGATCGCCACAAAAAGGAAAAGAAACGTGCCACCAAGAGCAATCAAGACAATCCAAACGGCACTCATTTCTTTAAATTTCGGAAATGATGGAAGAGTGCTACCTAAACAAATTCCAATCTTTGAAAATAAACTCCTAAACCTACTTGGAGGTAACGGTGCACAAAGGCCATAGTTGTCGCTTACGTTCGGTTGCTTCAGAAGATCTCCATAGTTCTAAAACTTTGATTTACCGGATTCGATCTTGACTCACGTAGCGGAAGAATTCTTTTGCCGCGTCGCTGACTGAATCCAATAAGAGTTGCGTTTTTGTGCTTTCAGGAAGGTCAGTCTAAAATCAGAGAATGTGAATTGGTTTAAGTAAGGGCCAGGCTTTTATATAGCCAAGTACTCAATGCATAGAATTTTTTTAGCACCTTGGTTTTTACAAATAAATTTTGACCTGGAAGATCCGACTTCCGGATCCTGTAGAGCTAAGATTTACAGCTTTAAAAGGTTCAGTTTCTGCTATTTCTGATGAAGCTGAGCTTATCCATGAATACCTAGATCTCTTCTGATGTCAGAGTTGTTTCGCCTGACCGAGTTAGCTTAGCGGCCATTAAGGCGGAACGACCGTTAACCAAAAGGAAAATAATCCAAGCTATTGCAACGAATTATGACCCATTGGGAATCGCTACCCCATTCCTAGTTGAGGCTGAAAGTTTTTATCAAAGTTTGTGGTCTATCAAAGACTTAAAATGGGATCATCGACTACCCGAAGAACAGAGTGAGCAATGGGAAGAAATTGAAAGCAAGTTCGGTAAAGAAACAAGAAACACGAAACACGATCCCAAGGTTCATCTTTACGGCACTACAAAGAGATTACACACGAATAGCGACCTTTGCTGATCCATCGGCAAAAGCCTGCGCAATTGTCGCATACCTGCAATCGGAAACTGGTGGAAGATTTGAGTCCTCGATAATCTTGGCAAAGAATCGGCTGAACCCTACGAAAACCATTCCCACAATCCCAAAAAATGGAATTGTTAGCCTTAGAATGTGCTCATAAGCAAATCCAATATCTATTAAAAGAAATAAAATTAAAGATTGATGAAATTGTCATTTGCGGAGGTTGAGCAGTGGCACTGAAATGCGTCACCCAAGAAAAAAACAAGGGATAAAGCAGGAAAATTTGTTCAGAATCGGACAAACAAAATTGCCCAGGTTCAAGAAGAACTAAAGGCATTGCAAATCTCAGTCAAATTGTTTCATGTCCCTGGAAAGTTGAACCCAGCTGACTACGGCACCAAAGGAATCACCGTCGAGCAACTACATAAAATGGTTGGAAGTTATTTAAAGAAACATTTATGATTTGTGATCTTATGATTTCTTTTGGCGAATTTCTAAAGTGTTGACTCGATTGGGGATCTTTGTTGGGAAAAATGGAACTCACTGGGAATATTGAAAATATTTTTGGATAAACTGTGACTCACTGGGAATGATCGAGTCTAATCGTGAGTTTTTGAATAGCGTTTAGAATATTCGATTAGTTAAGTGATCATGGCCTTCTCAGGAGCAGAGAGGATCAATACAAAATCAATACAAACGCTTCTAATTTGCTTCAAATCTTCAAATCTACAATGAAAAACGCTGAGGGTACATTTGAATTTTTGGCTCCAGGATTAGGATTTGTTTGAGTGAAATTTGCAAATAGACTTTGCAGTTAAATGCAAAGTTTATTGAGCTTGATTTACATTCAAAAATAAAAATGACTTAAAAGTCTAAATTTCTAAATAAAGCTTAAATAAATTAGGAAAATTCCAAACTCTTTTTCTTCCTTATACAAAAGGAACCAATAATATCCGTTACTGACTCTTTTCTTATTCAAATGTACCTCTGTGACGGGTGCAACGGTTGAAGGACCAGTGATAGTGGCAGCGGCCGGATCAACGGTGGTGGTTACGTTAAGGGTTTTCATAATCTTCTTCAGTATCATCGGTCTGTCCAATCCGAAAAAGATGATCTCCGGTAGATAGGCCAGGGCCAGCTTTTGATTTGTGACAACTTTAGTGATCTAAACCCAACGTAAATATCGTAAATATTCTAATAAAACGCCACCACTTCGTAGCCATGTTCTTTTTAGAAAATCATTTTTTCTCAACTCCCAGATTTTCCTAATTACACTTTGGTATCAAAAAATACTAGATTTCAAGGGTTATCATTTGACGCCCAAGCGCACATTGTAGCATAAAGCAGCGCGGAGAACGGGATATTCAAAGTTAGACTACGCTATTATACGCCCATTATGGGAGTGACGTTCTATTAGAGTACACCAGAATCAATTTTCATACACCAGAATTAGGTGACTTTCTTAGCGGCTTTTTGCCACAATTTGTAGAATCAAATTTTAAACAAGTCAAGGATTGATCTTCTCAAACTGTAGCATACTTTTAAATTAATCTGATTTCTATGAAATTTGCTATCAATTTTTGACAAATGTGAATACTAATGGGATGAATCCTTTTCTCGTGTGTATTGTCATCGCAAAATGAGCTCGCATATTTTCAGATTTGGTCTCTCAATCGTCTTCGGTCTCAAAAAAAACGACGGTAATGCGAAGTTGGATTTCTTAGAACTTTGGTACAGCAATAAATACTCAAAACGAAGGTTTCTAGGGGTAATTTGGCACTTTCTTTCCAAAAAACATGATCCCAAGATGATTAGAGCACGGTATCAACAACAGAAACAGCGCGGAAAACGTCGTTTTTTTCAAACTCGATTTTGCGCACCCCAAAATGTGTCAAAAGTTAAAATAATTTTTAAAAAGCAAATAAACCATCTTATAGAGCTCATTTCAGGCTTTCAGAATCACTATAACGCTTCTAGTCTACGATGGAAAGGCTCGGAGTTATAGCTCTTCAAAGATGGAGAAAAATTCGCGAAGTGATAATCTTTTGGACAGTACTATATAAAGTTTTTTTCGCGAATTTAGCAAATGCTTTTGCTTATAAACTTTGCAATTGTTGTTTTTGTGTTTTGTCGAGCGCTTGTCTTGTTTGATTTGTTTGATCTTTATTTATTTTGCAACAATCATTTCATCAATAAATAGCAAAGCACAATGAACAATGAAATAAAACTCGTTAGTCGATCAGAAAAATTCTTGTCATAGGTGATTTGAATTGTGAAACTTGTATCGGATTGGGTGTTTCCTCCAGTTGCTGCAAGAAAATCCTCGATTGAAAGAGTTTGCTTTGAAATTTGAGGGTCCCGTTTGCTTCTTGTTGCATTTTTAATCTAAAATTTTGCGTGCAAGCTTAGAATGTAAGTCTATTTAGTACTCAAAACTAAACACGTTACAGTACTTACAATTCCCTGTGCTTATTGTTGACCCGAATATAGAAAGTGTCATTTGAGTTGAGATTTGAAGAGTACTCAATGGTGATGAATCGCTCAATTCGTCGATCTAACGGTTCCCAGGCACAGGCGATTGGTGGGCAACCCTGGAAATGGAAAAATAGCCTCGAGGTTTAGATGCAATACCTTTGAAATCCTTTGTCGAATTGTGACTGTAATGATTGAACCATTTTGAGGTGATTCCACTTTTTGAGCGCAATTACAACCTGTAAGATTTTTGTTTTGTTGATTTTCCATATAATTTTTAACCTTCTTTGATATCAACCTCTTTGATTGATCCTTTAAATTCTCCAGTCTCTTGTGTGTATCTAAAATGTTTTAGATCTGTTAGACTTGCGGCACTTACTCCATGAAAACTTGCTCGTTCGGCACAACGTACTCGAGTGGTTTGTGGCTTTTCTCCAGTAATCTGAAAGTATGCATAAAACTGTTTATTTGGCTAATCTGGTACAACATTCTGACGAGCTTTTGACGGACTTTTGACAGACTTTTCATGGACTAACGGACTTTTTGCGAACACTGACTTTCGGGTAGCTGCTCTAAAGCTTGCCCGACTACCATAACGACAACTCTCAGCTTACGTAATCAAGATCAAGTTACGGTAACCAAATTTTGATAAAAAGATCAGTAAATAGCAATATTTCATGAAAATTACCCCAGTTTTGATAACAACTGGCTACTTTGCGTTAAATTTTTTGTCTTTTGCGTCTTTTGTGTCTGTTCAAACTTGCGCAACTTGCCATAGCTTTCTTCTGAAAGGGCGAATCTTTATAATTTTAATGTCATTTTGTAGATCTCAACAAGTGCAACAAAATGACAGCAAAATCATAAAGATTGGCCTACTAAGAAGAAAGTTATGGTAAAAGAAAGTCAAAAGACCCGGTTGCGCATAAAATTTGGCTTCAAGTAGCCACTCCTTGAGTTGATATCAAAACTGGAGCACTTTTCATCAAATATAGATATTTAATGATCTTTATATCAAGATTTGATGACTGTAAATCGTCCCTTTCAATGTTACTATTCAGTTTGAATCTTTCTCTGCAATATCTTTCTTTGAATCTTTCTCTTCCTGTAAGAAATCAACTATAATGATCACTTTCATATTAAAATTTTTCATAAATTAGCATTGATGTCATTTTGTAGATCTTTTTAGATTATTTTCTTGTTTAAATTTAGAGCCTTTGTTTAAAATCTACAGTTTACGACTTACTCAAAATAATCGGATCCATGATGAGGTCCGTGAAAACGAATAGGACTCCAAACATTGTCGAAATAATTGATTTTGATTTTCATTCCTTTCTGCGTTGAGTTATGAGAGAACTGAAAAAGTTCAACGTTTTTTCAAAGAGAAATCGTTACCATTTCACTTCCGATATATTCAATTATTGAAGCTTCTTCACTCGGGCTTTCCTCTTTGCGAAACTCGAATGCTTTCAACTTGTCGGTGAAATAGAAACTTTCGTGAACTAAATAACCATTAAATTTGTTATTGAATAAAAAGTTAAATGCTAATTCTAGTTGTACTAGCTATAAAAGAATCCAATCAAGTAAAAGATTAACATTTCAATGTGCTTTACCTCGATTCTACTGGCTAAAAGAAACTAAACATTGTTTCTTTTTTGATTTTTTGAAAGTAATTAAAGATTCTTTTGATTTGAAATGTTGGTAAAACAAATTTCAGATCAAATTCTTTGATAAGTACTGGATTAGAATTGAAATTTAGACACCGAACCTGGTGGCGGAGCTCCAGCATCATCTCCACTGGCAAAAGCTTCACAAATAAATATGAGAATAAGATAGAGATACATTATTTCAATAAAAACACATTCCTTTACCCAAAAAAGAGATTTTCACCTGTCTTTTGGTGAAAGAAAGATTTGTCACTTCTCCGAGAAAGAAATAGTCGATCGATTGCCGAAAAACAAGGTCATTTTGTGGAAAAGTGGAGCTCAATTGAAAGATATTAGTCGTTCTTTCTAACTATTCTTACTAGAATGTGTAAAATGTGGCATCTTTTGAAAGCTATTGTATTTTGCAAGCTTTTGAAAGCTATCTTGCTTCTATTTTTTTCAATCTATCTACTTTTTGTTAAGAAAGATAGCAGAAAAATACAAAGTTGATAGATTGAAGTAATTCTTTTTTGACCACTCGCTGTTTTCCGTCAATTTTTAGTAAATTTACAAGATTTATGCCTTCTTTTTGTTAATGTAATATAGAAAAAAAAGAAAATGTTTATAGAAGTTCAAAATTCAGCTGTAAGATTTTCTAAACTTCAACTTTGTTTGATGAATCAGTCCTCTGAAACGTGTTTGAAATTGTGGTTGACAAAGAATTTCACTCACCATTTATTAGTCGATTTTTGTTAACTTTACATAGCAAATAGATCATGATAAAGATGAATAGAAGGGTTTGTTCAAAATAGAGTTTCATGAGTGAAATGATTTTGGTAAACCCGTTTTGTCAGTTCATACTTTGTCCGATTAGATCTCCGGTTAGATAAAATAATTTCGAAAAAGCCAGATTGTAAAGTTATCCAAAAATGGGATTCAATGAAAAAGAAATGAAAGAAATGAAAGAAATGAATATAATCTGGAATAAAGTTGAAATTTCAAGAGATTTCGTTGAATTGCAAAAGTCTCCCTCACAACAGTGGACTGTTCCAGCGTTGGGATCGTCGTACTTGTTGAGTTCTCCCTAAAGTTGTAAAGTTTTATAAAGAAAGATATGATCTAGATATAATCTTGTTATGATTTTCAAGTTTAAAGAAATACTTTAAACTTACATTACACCATTGTTCTCCATCATTGTCCATCTCTCCACAGCCGCACGACCATCGAGAGGATTTATCTTTCTAAATGGATAGGCGAAATTCACAACTGTCAAATGATTCGAAATGTCGTAGCCGATTATGAATCAATATTTTGGCTGTTTTGGCCGATGAAGTACTGTTTGTTCCTAGGAGTAGACGGATATAAACTTAAATTTGGGTTAATTCAAAGAGAGTGGACCCCTTTTGATATCCTGCATCTCTAACACCTCGACAACCCGACTCAACTTCTTCAACTTCTTAGGGGGAGTCCCTGAGAAATGATCAACCTGAATTGCAGTTACATACCCGGGAGCTATGTATCTTTATTTACAGTAGTACGATAAGACGAATAGTACGATAAGACCAAAGGGGAAGGGGGACTCCAAGTGAGAGCCTCACTTGTCCTCCTAGGCAATCCCAGGGACTGCCCCTACTCAGCGATGAAATGGATAAGCACAGGGGAGATCACATTTACATACAAATAGACAAATCATTCAAGAATAACAATAGTAACTAAAATATCAGTTTAGCTCGGAGCTGATAGTACCAATTTTGTGTGTTCAGGTTAAAAATTGCGGGCGCTACAAGGTTTCATTCAAAATCGGCGGGACTTCTGTAGCCGATTTTGAATGACTGGGTTTAGGCGCGTCCAACCATCAAGTGCTTGGTATCATTCAACGCAGAATCATGAATAATTATGTTAAATTTTCTAAATAAGAAAGATTGAATAAAAAGAAAGAGATTTAGAGCAAAAAAAGAGAAAACATTGTTTGTTTGTTTTAGAAAAGAAAAAAAAGAGTTTGTTCAAGAGAAAACTTTGAAGTTCCATAAAATTTTTTCTTTTTATTCAATCTTTCTTATTTAGAAAATTTAACATAACTATTAATGATCCTGCGTCGAATGATACCAAATACTTAATGGTTGGACGCGCCTAAACCCAGTCATTCAAAATCGGCTACAGAAGTCTCGCCGATTTTGAATGATTTTGGATTGTAGCGCCCGCAATTTTTAATATCAAACACTTGATGATTGGATGAGCCTAAACCCACTCATTCAAAATCGGCTGAATTTCAAAATCGGCTACCACAGATATAATTCAAAAGATTGTATTTAAATCTAAAAGTGATTGTAGAAAAAAATTTACCACTCTTTTTGAACAATATTTGCACCAGACACTGCATCGAGACGCTCGAGCCTAGAAAATTAAGTAAAACATTGAAAAGTCCCGAAAATTACAAGAGCCAGGAGAACTCTAGCTTGGCATGACCAGCTCTGTTTTGAACTGGCCCGGCTTGCCTGCCTTGCTTGATCTTGCTCTAGCTCAACCATAATCATTGTTCATAATTTGAATGAGAATAAGTACTGATTGACTTTAACTGTACCATGCTTCACTACTTAGACTAAAGTTTGGCCGCAGTCAAAATAAATTGACTTTGCTTAGCCAGAAATTCATGGAAATTTAAGTAAAAGTCCCGAAAATTACACAAGAGGCGAAGATTTTATCAAATGTATGCTTCCATTCCTCGAAAAATGCACATTTTATGCAAGGATTTCTTTGAATTTAAACGTACTGAAGTATTCGAATGACTCTCTCCATTCTCATTCGAATCATAGACACATTGAATTGAGTGAGCTTCAGACAAATGGATTACAGACATTAATGTTATCAAGAGCATAAAGATTGACATTTGGAAATTGGAATAAATTTGGAAACTGAATTTTGAATTGATGCAAGGAATAAATAAAAGCAAAATCAATAAGATCTTATCGACTTAGGCTTTCACAAGAACAGGAAAGATAAGGCATTGAAATGGGAATTCTTTGACACCTTTCAAATACAAAAGAATGCCCGTTTCCGGCTGGTTTTATGTAGTTTTCATTTTGCAATTGTCTGAATTTTCTACCGAACAAGAAGCTGATCTATTTACTACTCTTTTTGAGAACTCTTCATCAACAATATCTTCAACTCCAAGCCCTTTTTTATGGAGAGGTCCGTCGTGGTGCTATAATAGTCAGTGATTAGAAAATACTTCCAAATTTGGGATAATTGAATGTAAATTTATGTAGCTCAGGGTTAAAAGCTAAGTGTTAAGGTTAGCCAAAGCCAATGTTTTTTTGGAATTTCAAACTTACCGTTGAATTTGTCCCAAAAACATTGGTTTTGGCTTAGGCTTAACTTGAAAATGTGGCTCTTTTGCCAACCCTAATACTGGAAATCTGGTAGCTTTTAAAATAGGTAGATGCCTTTTAGAAATCCGATGTAAAATGCCTGTTTGAGTATGGGGTTTTTGATTTTCAAACTTTTTAGCATCCATTTTCATCAACAGAGCCGATTTCATAACAGTTTTTGAAATCTACATTTATTTGCTATTAAGTAAACCGTATGGAAAGGCACAGCGCACAGAAGAATCACTTTTACTTGTTGACAGAATTTTGCAACCCTGTGTCGAGGCTGAAGAAGAGGGGAATGGAAGGTGAGATTGCTTTGTTTTTTCTGTATTCCAGGTTCATTCAATGTGTTCACATTTTTTCCGAGGCCAAAGGACGGATTTGTTTACGTAGCCGTGTCACAATATAAACGAGATGACAAAAATGTGATCGGCTTTAATTCACAGCAATGGTATCATGATTTCAGGTAGAGTCTCCTTTCAACTAATGTATTTTCTAAAATGAGGCAAGTTTAAAAACTACCATGCTATCGTGCTTCAAGTTTGTCTCTTCCAGTGCAAGCCAGGTGACCCAGCACAAATCCTGGTCTGACTCCTGGCCAGACGAGGACCTGAGCCTAAGCCGGAGGCCTGACCTGGGCTAGACCAGAACATGAGTCTAAGCTTCAGGCCTGGCCTGGATCAAACCAGGACCTGAGCTTGAGCCTGTGGCAGGCCAAACTAGGACCTGAGCCTGAGCCCTGGCCTGGCTGTCTAACCGGATCTCAAGACCTGAGCCCGTATGCTAAGCTTCGGAAAACTTAACATAGGATTTCCGCCGGAAAATTTCCAAAGCAAAGGGCGCTGGAGAGTGCTAAAACGGTAGCTTTATGAACAAGACTTTCGATTTATTAAGCTTGAATTTTGTCTTGAAAAAGCATAGTTTGATAAGGGCGAAAGGTTTTAGACAATTTTTCTTGCAAGTTCAGATTTTTTCTGTAGCTATTTGAATTAAAAAATTTTATTTGACGGGAATTCAAAAGTATTTTTGTATAATCAGATCTACTCATGATCTCCTCATATCATTTCCGGTGGAAAGTTTCCGGCAGCTACTACGCTTTTTTGAGAATTTCCCGCGGGAAAGTTTTCCGGCAGGGTTTCCGGCGAAAGCTTTCCCGGAGCGTAACATACACGTGTAAAATAAAGAAATACAGAATTGCAAATACGTAAATCACGATCCTCTTTATCATATGTTTAACTGGACGGGAAAAATAGATATCCATACGCTGGATAAGGTTTGTTGTCCCTGGCGGTACATTTTCGATCTGCAGACTACTGGGCGCCCCAAAATTACCCGAAACAACCTCCGTTTGCCGCACTTTTCTGTTTTGCGTTTTTGGGTTGACTATCTTTGCTACTTTTTAAGCACAAAAACACTTCGGAAACAAAATTTAGTGCTTTCAGTAGGATGAGGGCCCGCCCACGAAGACCGAATTGTTCAAGACTGGTGTGAACGAAAACTTCCCGGACTTCATCAGCTTTAAACAGTGACCACCATCAAGCCCCGATTTAAATCTGATGGATTACCAGTCTGGAGTGTTCTCGAAGCAAAAGATGCAAAAATAGGCATATATACCATTTCTAAAGTTTTCTGAAGCTGCTTATGATTTCGTCAAAGTAGCGGTAAGTGATCTGTTACTTTGTAAATAAGTGCTATAGAACTATAGAACGCCATAATGACGGGCGTATAGTCGCGTAGTCTGGCTTTGAACGTTCCGTTCTCCGCGCTGCTTTATGCTACAGTGTGCGCTTGGGTGTCAAATGATAACCCTTGAAATCTAGTATTTTTGAT